ACCTACACCTACTAGAGTCTACAATAAAAATTTTTTAATTTTAATAAATGAGATAATTAATGTTCACGAAGTTATTGAAATATTTGAAAAAAATAATAATAATAATAATAATAAATAAAACCTATAAATAATAATTTAATACTTAACAAATTAATTTGAATACTTTTTTTTTTTTTAATCGAAATCTATTAAAATTTAAAACTAAATCGATATCATACCTGCAATGCTTTAAGCATAGGAACACTCTCGAGCAATTGCTCATACATTTTCCTCTTTTTAAAAGCACTCTTTAAGATAATACGACGGAATGTTAGACGGTCCATGGCCCAAAGAGAACCTTCTGTCACTGCTTTAACACTTGCCGCTCTTGGCATATTATATAACAAAGCCAATTCTCCAAAGCTACCAAAATCTTCATATGTGTGAACATGCATCGGCTCAGCTTCATTTTCACGTAACACATATGCATTGAAAATTCCTCTGTTAAAGAAACAAATGAGATTAATTTAATTTAATATTGATTATAAATTTTCTTCAAAACAATTCATCTCTAACCTCTCAATAACATAAAAGTTATCTCCGTCTTCTCCCTGATGAATAATCCATTCCTCAGGTTGAACTTGTCGTTCAAACATAGCATCTAATATTTCTTGCATTTGCTCCTGAAATTTTTTATTTAATCGATTATAATCGCCTAATTGTTATAATTTATGTTTGTTTATTATTAAAAAGATCTATAAAAGCATTATAAAAAGTTAATTTTAAAAAATCCATCTAATATTGGTTTCCAATTATTATTTCTATCAAAACTAATTTTTATTTTCGCTATAATGTTTTTTCCAAAAATTCCTTTATTTCTATTATATTTGCTTTTTGATTTATTAAAGTGTTAAAAAAAAAAAATAAAAAAAATATTTTATTAGTATTACTTACCTTATCTAAGGACTTGAAGAGTAAAATATTTTGAATACTGTCAGCCAACCTTTTTCTTTGTTCATCTGACTTAGGAAATACAATCTGAAAATAAAATAAATTCATCATGTGACTTTGCAAAATTAGAAACGAAAATTTTTATCTCCTTAAAATTAGTTTTTTCTCATATAAACATTTGAAAATATTAAAAATTCTTAAAATTAACATTTTACAAAAGTCAAAAGTTGAAGTATTGTAAGGAATATTTATGTAAATAACTTAATTTATATAAATTTTTAATAGAAATTATATGAGGATAAATATGTATAAATAAAAAACAACTTACTCTTTCTCCATCATCTTCATCTTCTTCTGGATCATAAGCCTCAGCAAAAACTGATTTTCTTCTATCAGTGTATTTACCTCTTGGAGGCTCTAAAAAAAAAAAATACAATAAATTAAAATTTAATGAATTCTTAATTATTTACATATTTTCTAAAATTGCAATAAACACAATTTTACGTTACGACTTCTTTTATTTTCCTCATATTTAACAATAAAAATAAAAAAAAAACAAGACAAAGACAAAAATTATACTATTAAAAAGATTATGTACAAATTAAAAAATTAGGGTTGAATTACTATTAATAAAAATAAATCAAAAAAAAAAAAAATTACGATTAAAACAATTCATTTAACATTTAAAAAAATTTTTTAAAATATATATATATATTTTTTTTTTTTGTCGAATAATTAAAAAGGCAAAAGAAGGAAAAAAATTTAAAAACTTATTAAAATCTTACCTTCTTCTATTGAAAGAGAATCATCTGCAGATTTTGAATGT